ATCCCCGTTAGCGATTTGCAAAAAACCAATAAAATTTACAAATTCAAATGCCCTTTGGGAGATTATATCTCCAATGGATTAAATAATATTTATGTTGGTCACACCCCAAACTCGCTTTCACGGCGCTTGACTCAACATTTAAATAACTCTAACATTTTTAGACATTTAAAACAACATGCCTGCCCGCGTATTCAATTCCGGAAAATTCTTGTTGACAACACAACTTAAACATGAAAACAATAAACAAAAATTAAAAATAATTATTGAAGCTATATACATAAAACTGTTGAAACCTAACCTGAACAAAATAAACTATGAAATCTCCACAAATATTCTATAATACCTATAATTTATAACAAGCAATTGGTTTATACCAACGGCTCCCCATACTCAATACTTCTTGTTTTTCACTCTCGCGTGGTCATGTGCGACGTCACGAGCTGCGACGCGATTTTCGCTTCCGCGTCTCGTATATACGAGTTTGTCATTACTTTGAAATTTTTCAATCAGCAAGGGCGGACTAGTATTGTGGTTTCGTCTGTGTGTTGTTTGATTTATTGAAATTTTCATCTTTGATCATGACTCATGTAAGCCGAAAGCTAAGATTGGATTTAAAGATGTATCAATATGGTGATTTCCTTTCGCTTTTCAACGATAATGTGATTGAGCTTATCAGACAATATGAAAGGAACTTACTTAAAATAAATAGACAAAACTTGTTTATATTATTTAATAAAACATGCATTAATATATATATATATATATATATATATTTTCTGCCAAGCCTGTCATTGCGTCTATGCGTAAGGATGTTCTCCTTCCACATCATAATAGTTAATTTATTCTTTTAAATGTAGTTGCGGTTCGCACTACATAGGGAGAACGACGCAAAGGCTGGATGTTAGAATAAAACAACAGCGAAAATCCGAAACCTTAAGTATACTCCCTCGGACATTTTGAGCAATACATACGGGTCTTCCATCGCAGAACACCTTATAAATAGCCATAATTGTGCTGTTAGTTTTAGTGTGGTCGCTTTTACCATCCTTAGCAGGTCTCACTCTAATTACCACCTAAAAGTGTTGGAAGCCATCTATATTCTATCATTAAAGCCTTCTCTATGTAAACAGAAGGACTTTGCATTAGGCCTGCAACTAATTACCATTTAAATATTTTTCTCTCCTCCCAATACATTTTGTCCATTGTTCTTCTTCTTTTAAATAATTTACTTTATTAACCTCGATTTAGCTCTGTTGAGCGAGGTTAGCTAGCCCGTTTTTCGTTTTTACTTTTTATTATCATGAGTGGTAATAATAAAACTAATTTTTGTCTGTTTATGGCAGTGATTGATATATATATATATATATATATCGTAACATTTAATTTAAAAAAGGGTTCAATACAATGTACAAAAATATTCTTTTTTTAGGATATTAAATCGATGTAATATCCTAAAATAATATATATATATATATATATATATATATATATTATTTTATATATTATTATATATATATATATATATATATATATATATAGTGGTCCGAAAGTCTCCTCATCCCACTTTTTTGGATACTTCTTCGGTATTCTTCATTGGTAATTCTATTGACGAAATCCTCGAGCCTCTGGGAGATATTAGCTTGCAGTCTCTGTTTCATCCAACGATTGTACTGGATTCTCTCTAGGACAAGGGCGTGTCCTGCTTTCTCTGCGACCCGACAAGTTCTCCTTGAATTGACGGGAAGTCTTAGTGCCAAGCCTTGAAAGGATGAGTTGTAGGTTTCTGCATCGGTGTAGGAATGTCAGATGGTTCGATATTCGTGCCACTATTTACATTATTCGGACTATTGTCCTCATCTTTGTCACCATATTTATCATAACGTTTCGGCTCTTCAGTATCTGTCTATATTTCTGAGTTGAGGTATTATGTACACTATTTACATTATTCGGACTATTGTCCTCATCTTTGTCGCCACATTGATCACAACGTTTCGGCTCTTCAGTATCTGTCTATATTTCTGAGATGAGGTATTATGTACATCATTTACATTATTCGAACTATTGTCCTCATTTTTGTCGCCATGTTTATCACAACGTTTCGATTCTTCAGTATCAGTCTATATTTCTGAGATGAGGTATTATGTGCACTATTTACATTATTCGAACTATTGTCCTCATCTTTGTTGCCATATTTATCACAGTTCACGATGGAGAAAGAGAGTAAAAACACACTCCCATTCATGGATGTTCTAATATCTCGAACGGAGCATGGGTTCAAGACATCCGTATGGGATTGTTGAAATAACCACATCGTACACATTTGGCTGTGATAGATGTGGCAGGTATACCCAGAGGAGACAGGGTGTCATGAGGAGTATATTGTAACCTAGCCTCCCTTAGTTGGTGTGCTGCACACTCTCTCAGTAATAATATTGTCTGTGAGGCATGTACCTGTTATACCCTTATCAGACTTGGTATCATGATTGGTTAATTGAGATTTGTTATATTTGTGGGTGTGCGGCTGGTGTAATGTATAAACGGTTCGAGGTGAGAAATTGGAGAAACGTTTTTGAATTCCAGTCGAGTTCATTACATTCACTTTCCCGCAAATATTTTAGGAAAGGCTTGAATCCATATATTCTCCCTCCAGCTATGGGTTAAATAGTAGGACATGTATCGGGAAAAATCATTGTTAAAATAATAATGCACAAAAACGAATAATATTATTCTTACAATCCAAAATATATCCAGACATTAAATAACCCACAAAGGGCTGATAAGCCAAAAAATCCAATTCAGTCAACCGTATATTTGTACCCCAGCGTTACTTTTATGGCGTGTTGATCACTCAAGTAATGATAATAATAATGATGGTAATAATAATAATAATAATAATAATAATAAAGGATGCCTGTGATTAGTTATTTTCTCGTGTAGTGAGTTCGGTACTCATAGCCGAGTGCAATACTACTATTCGGGACTGTTAAAAATTCGTGAGAAACAAAGAAAAGATGTAATGAACTGTTACGTGATATCTGTCCTTATTTATGGCATTGAATATTGCACAATCTCCTCAAAGATGAAGAAGAAGCATCAAGTATCAGAAATGTGGTTCTACAGAAGGATACTGAGGATACCATGGACCGAACATGTGAACAACGACGAAGTTTTAGAGAAATAGGAAACAAAAACGAAACTGATACTTAACATCAGAAAAATACAGTTGAAATTTCTAGAACATATATTGAGGAAAGAGGGCTTGGAAAATCTGATACTCACAGGACAGATTGAAGGCAAGTGGGACAGACGGAAACAGCGCATAACCTACCTGGCGAACTTGAGTAAATGGATGGTGGAAGAAGTTTCAGGAGAAATAAGAAAAGAAGAACCTTTATTAAGGGCGACAAAGGACAGGATTGACATCAGCGGAAATGGGGATGGATTGGCCACACACACCGCCAGCCTGTTTCTAGTGCCACTATGCAGGCCCTTGACTGGAATCCACAAGAGAAATCGTCTCCAACGACCAACTGTGGGATAAGATCAGGAAAGCCCCAATCTAGATTGATATCAAGAAACGGAAATAGGAATGGATTGGCCTCACACTCCGTCAGCCTTCTTCTAGTGTCACAAGACAGGCCCTTGACTGGAATCCACAAAGGAAGTCGTCTCCAACGACGAACTGTGGGATAAAGCCAGGAAAGCCCCAATCAAGATTGACATCAAGAAACGGAAATGGGGATGGATCGGCCACACACTTCGCCAGCCTGCTTCTAGTGTCACCAGGCAGGTCCTTGACTGGAATTCACAAGGGAAGTCGTCTCCAACGACCAACTGTGGGATAGGACCGGGTAAGCCCCAATCAAGATTGATATCAAGAAACGGAAATGGGGATGGATCGGCCACACACCGCCAGCCTTCTTCTAGTGCCACCAGGCAGGTCATTGACTGGATTCCACAAGGGAAGTCGTCTCCAACGACCAACTGTGGGACAGAACCAGGAAACTCCCAAAAGAGATGACATCAAGAAACGGAAATGGGGATGGATCGGCAACACACTCCGCCAGCCTTGACTGGAATTCTTCTAGTGAATACAAAAAGATTGACCGGAAATGGGGATGGATTAGCACACTCCGCCAGTGACTGGAATCCACAAGAGAAGTCGTCTCCAACGACCAACTGTGGAATAGAACCAGGAAATCCCCAAACAAGTTTGACATCAAGAAAAGGAAATGGGAATGGATTGCGACACACACAGCCTCCGCAAGACAGCCTGCTTCGTAGTGTCACTGTGGAAGGACAGACCCAAGTTTGACATCAAGAAACGGAAATGGGAATGGATTGGCCACACACTCCGCCAGCCTGCTTCTAGTGTCACAAGACAGACCCTTGACTGGAATCCACAACAGAAGTCGTCTCCAACGACCAATTGTGGGAAAGCCCCAAAGAAGTGTTGACGCAGAGGTGATGGCAGCCGGCACGACATGATCACCCGGAACCGTGTCCGTTGGGGAGAGGTGTTGGTGCGGCCCTATGTATCCCAAGAAATGAAGAGGCATAATAAAAAATAATAAAATAATAATACAAATGACAGGAAATTGTGGAGAGCCATGATCACATACGTCCTGTAGAGATGCTGCACGTACAAAATATGAGCTTCAGTAAATAGATTACGTCTTCAGTAACCTTCTTGGAATTCAGCACCAAACCTTTTATTCAATTCACGGGTGTAGTTTGTTCTCCTTCCGTTTTCCATGCTTTGTAAAAGAGTTCATATCTGTTAATGCGTTTTTCCCATTTGTGTCGCTTGTCAGTTTCTTGCATTGAACCACAGAAAGTGACATTTTGAACAGAAGTAGGCGCATGGATTGAAATCACAACTGAATGGGGATCAGATGTGCTTGAACCAACGCTTTAATCTACTAGGCAACGTGTTTCCTGTTTGGGAAATAATCTTGCTGTACTATTGAGGTTTGAAATGACGAAAAAGAAATTTAAGATTAAAAAGTCAGTTGGTAAGAGAAAGAACGGATAAGTTGTGAGAAAAAGAAAAGGTGATGAAAGAGTTCGATACAGACGGAGCTAGAGAAGAAAAAGAAGGAAAAACCGAAAAGGAAGCGAAACAGATGGATATACTTTAAGAAAGAAAGAAAGAAAGAAAGAAAGAAAGAAAGAAAGAAAGGGTAAGATAAAGAAAAGAAAGAAATAAAGGGAAAGATAAAAAAGAAAAAGAAAGAAAGAAAGAATGAAAGAAAGAAAGGGAAAGATAAAGAAAGTAAAATGAGAAAGAAAGAAAGGGAAAGATAGATAAAAGAAAGAAAGAAAGAAAGAAAGAAAGAAAGGAAAGATAAAAAAGAAAAAGAAAGAAAGAATGAAAGAAAGGGAAAGATAAAGAAAGAAAAAATGAGAAAGAAAGAAAGAAAGAAAGGGAAGGATAAAGAAAGAAAGAAAGAAAGAAAAGGAAAAAGAAAAATGAAAAAGAAAGAAAGGGAAAAAGAAAAAAGAAAAAGAAAGAAAGAAAGGAAGAAAAGGGAAAGAGAAAGAAAGAAGTAATATGACTGAATAAAAAACAAGGGAAACGGAAGAATTTTCAGTAAATAAAGAAAGTGAGAAAAAGACGTGTGGCGTGTAAACTGTTCATGACTGGGTTTAATAAATAGAGTGACTTTAAGAAGGCGATTCAATCCACTTAGCAGCATATAACCAAAGACTCATAAACGGAACGACCTTTCCGGGTCAGAATGTACAAGTAAGAATGGATATGACCAACGTAATCGCCTTGGAAGTCATCAAGCAATATTTTCAGTGTGAAGCAGGAGACACTTTGGATATCACTCAAATGCTTTGACCTATGCCTACTAATAACCTTCTTTAATATGTCACGGACAAGGTTATTGGACCTTTCTCGACTCTTCTAACAATTCACCTTGTCATTATCAGTATAAACTGCCTTAGCTTAATGTTGAAATAAACCCAGTACTTCTCCCAAAGCTATTTGTACGTCTTAAATAATTTCATAAATTATTTATGATTGTTTTCCTTCTACGCACAATACGCATTCCTTAAGGGATACAGTCACGTGGATTAAAGCGTTGGTTCGTGAATTTTGAAGTATTATAATTGTGACTTAAATCTCTTGGTAGGGTGTAGAGACATAGACTCAGCTGAAATAGGATGACCAATAGCTGAGTAGTAGTACTAAAAAAAACAAGAGTGATTTCTAGACAGCGGAACGAGAACAATCTACCCTCGAAGCTTAAAGAGTTCAGTTCAAAATGACCTCAATGTTACCCGGATTGACAGGCATCTGAAGAAGGCTGGAATGTAAAACAACCGAAATGTTAGGATAACAACAGCAAAGATGAGGATATTAGTCCGAATGTAAATCATTCATTTATTCAGCGCATTTTTGTCAGCATTCACCTACATCTCACAATTGTGGTGCATGATGACATTCAAGGTGGAATAATGCAATTGCTTGCCAGTTCCTTTTGCACCGGCGGTGTTGAAGTTACTCCATCCCGCCTCTCAGAAGTTAAAGAGGCAAAACCTACAAGACAGCGAAATGATATGGATATTGATGGATTATCAACCCTTTGTGTCACATGTTCGGTTACTTAAACAACTATTCTATCCCATTTTCTTTTAATCTATTCACCCCATGAGAGACGATGATTCCACTAAGACACAGTGGGCTACTGGGAGTAAAAGAGAAACAAGAGATACTCCTATCCAAAGCAGCGGGGAGGAGTATGAACCGGACGATAACTAAGCCTATCTATTCTTTTTCTTCTATTTCCTTTTTTTCTTCGATTCTTTTTTATTCAAAAAGTTTATTTCTTTGTTTACTTCATTTTTGAATCCATTTTCTTTTCTCCATGTCTTTCTTCTTTCTCTCTGTTTTCTTTTCCATTTTCTTTCTTTCTTTCTTTCTTTCTTTATTTGTATTGAATCATTAATAACTTCGTAGCCTAGACCGTATGTAGACTACATAGCAAATATTAATTTCTCAGCATACATCGCTTAAATTGTCAGTGCGTTTAATTCAGTGTTGAATATTAATCACGGATTTAACATTATTTAAAGTTCCAGATAAACTTCAGCTAATAGCTTCTTTCCTATGTGTTTTACTATTTCCATATTATTCACTTACTACGTCGATCCTCCCCGTGACGTAATTCTTTCTTTCTTTCTTTCTTTCTTTCTTTCTTTCTTTCTTTCTTTCTCGTTCCCTTTCTTTCTTTATTCCTTTCTTTATCTTTCCCTTTCTTTCTTTCTTTCTTTCTTTCTTTCTTTCTTTTCTTTCTTCTTTCTTTCTTTCTTTTTCCCTTTCTTTCTTTTTCTTTATTGTTCCCTTTCTTTCTTTCTTTCTTTCTTTCTTTCTTTCTTTCTTTCTTTCTTTTTCTTTCTTTCTTTCTTTCTTTCTTTCTTTCTTTCTTTCTTTCTTTCTTTCTTTCTTTCTTTCTTTTCCATTCTTCCCTTTTTTCTATTTCCCTTTCTTTCTTTCTTTCTTTCTTTCTTTTTTCTTTCTTTCTTTGCTGCGGATTAGGGTTATGAACTGACCCTAGCATTTACAGTTCCATTTATTCATCACGAAACCAGCTTTAAACTTTGAATCCCATATCTCTTACTAATACTTGTTTATTGACCGTATTTCCTCCCCCCCACCCCTATCATCGTGAACCTCCTTCAGTGGGGATGAGTTGTTTATTGAAATTCTAGGGCAATCGAAAATACATTTTCTTCTCCCAATTTATAAGCCGTTTAAACATATACCCGGAAAAGATCATAATATGAATAAGAGTTCTTTTTTGGCGAGTGTTTTAACTCAACACCAATAATTAATTGGATCATTTATGTGCCATGTCCCTTCAAGACATAGAACTTAAAACATCACACTCCACAACTTCCTATCCTTTGCAACGCTAAGAATTATTTGACTCTTTATTATCCATCGTTGTTCCCATCCATCAATCCATCCATCCATCCATTCATCCACCCAAATTCTTTAGGTATTTTCTCTACCAATTTTCTAGATACACCCTGTGAGTATTAATTTTTCCAAGTCGTCTTTCCTCACAATATACCTCTAAAATTATGAATATTTTTCCACTTCTCATTTTCGTTAGAACTTCCTCATTGCTCAAATGTTCTGTCCATGGTATTCTCAGCATTTGTCTGTAGAATCACATCTCTGTCGTTCCAAATTCTTTCTTCATCTGTGAGAAGACTGCCCAGCATTCACATACAGAAGGATAGATATGATATAGTAGTTTAACAATTATTTTTTATTTCTCACTGTTATATAACGTACCTATGAACACTAATAGGTATGTCGCAATCCTCATAAATACATTGGACCCTATTGTAAGTGGGGTAATATGCCGTCTAAGTTGACCACCACTAGCAGTGGTTTACCTACTTCACGCCGCTGGCGAGTATTGTATTTTGTTGATGTTATAAAGATTACCATTTCATTTCCAACCAACCTTCGTTTTGGCTATTCTTCATTCAGTAACCATTTCTAGGTTACAACACTATCTAATTGTTCTGTATTTTTATTTTTGGATATCGAGAAATTATCTATCTTTCTATCCATCTATCGATCTAAATCTTTTCATTTCTATCTATCTATCTATCTATCTATCTATCTATCTATCTATCTATCTATCTATCTAAATCTGTTCATTTCTATCTATCTATCTATCTATCTATCTAAATCTGTTCATTTCTATCTATCTATCTATCTATCTATCTATCTATCTATCTATCTATCTATCTAAATCTGTTCATTTCTTTGTATCCATCTATCTATCTAAATCTGTTCATTTCTATCTATCTATCTATCTATCTATCTATCTATCTATCTATCTATCTATCTGCTATATACCGTACATATGAACACTAATGTCCCAATCCTCATAAATACATTGGACACTATTGTAAGTGGGGTAATATGATGTTTATGTAGCAGTGGTTTACCTACTTCATGCCGCTGGCGAGTATTGTATTTTGTTGATGTTATAAAGATGACCATTTCATTTCCAACGTCCGTTTTGGTTATTCTTCATTCAGTAACCTTTTCTAGGTTACAGCACTAACGAAATATTCCATTAGCTTAATACTTTTAATAGTTCCTGAAAGGCAGCTTTTGCTATTCCAATGCACCTTCAGGTCTTTGTTGCTTAGTATAAAAAAGAACGCCTTGGATAAGACGATAAACTACATCCGCGTCCTGGGTAAGACGATAAACCACATCTAACAGCAAGGCGTCTGATTAGGAGGTTGTGAGTAGCGTGGAACCACTTCTTAATTGTTAATATTCCCAGGTCCACACTGACCCGGTGTGGTGGCAAATGTTAGGGGTCCTAGCTATGGGCAAATAGCTAAGACCCAAACTGGGGTCAAAACACTATGAAAGTGTAAAAATAGGTTTTAATAACAGCAATACATTTTTGTAAAAAATCTTACCAGGAATAAAAAAATTGTTGGCATTAAATAACCCATTGAGGTTGATATGCAGTAAAACAAACCAAACCAAATCAATGTATACTGAAATAGATAGGTAGATAGATAGAACCAGGATGGAAGATAGATAAAAAATATTACCAGCAATACAAATCTTGTCGGCATTAAATAACGCATTGTGTTATTGATATGCCGTAAAACAACCCAAACCAAATCAATATATACCGAAATAGATAGATAAAAATATTACCAGCAATACAAATCTTGTCGGCATTAAATAACGCATTGTGTTATTGATATGCCGTAAAACAAACCAAACCAAATCAATATAAACTGAGTTAAATAGATAGATAGAACCAGGATGCAATATAATATATATATATATATATATATATATATATAGAGAGAGAGAGAGAGATAGATAGATAGATCCAGGATAGATCCAGGATAGATAGAGAGAAAGAGGGATAAAAATATTACCAGCAATAAAAATCTTGTCAGCATTAAATAACCCATTGAGGTTGACATGCCGTAAAACAAACCAAACCAAATCAATATATACTGAAATAGATAGATAGATGGCTGGATCCAGGATGGAAGATAGATAGCTAGACAGATAAAAATATTACCAGCAATAAAAATCTTGTCAGCATTAAATAACCCATTGAGGTATTAATATGCCGTAAAACAACTAAACCAAAGCAAAAAAAAAAAAAAGGAACGAACGATTCAATCATTAAGCATATTTTTCACCAAAAGAAAATATTGTTCGTTATTTTTATGTTTTCATTAAACCATTTTGTTCATAGGTCCAGTTCGTTGTATATTTGTCTATTTGATAAATTCATTCACAGCTGATAATAATTAAGTCTTTCATTTCAATCCGACTCCTTCATTAGATATTAAGTGCCTTGTAAGTGGTATTCATGGGAAATTGAAACCCGCAAAATCGACTATTTTGGGGATACGAGGAAATTAAACCAGAAGGTATGATGGGAAGGCGAGTGTTGTTTAACACCGAAAGCATTGTCAATGAATCCATTGTAGCTCGAATTACGGTCATCGGTTCGCAGTGTACAGCATCTGCTGTCATCAGGCCAATACCTCAAAGTTACACAGCATCAATTTCTCACTGAAACTCAAACAAAAGCCTTCTTTTCACAATGTGTGGGGTTTGTATCAACCACATTTTATTGTCCATATTCGAAAAATATTGCTGACAATTTGTCAG